GCACTTTGCCTGCACACTGAATGTACTCAATCAAGCAAACGGTATAACATGCAATAACTGAATTATCATACGGTTCATTACAGTTTGGCTATGCTGCCATCTTTGGAGAATACCATGTTGCAACTTGAAACATCTTGAAACAGTGTACTGTAATCTATTTCTCATGGCCACATCTCCCCAAGCTGCGTCCCAGCTTCCAATCTTGGAACCTGTTTCGCAGCGAATGAACATGTGTTCCGGTACTCCTATTTTTTCTTTTTGACTTGTGATTTTGGAACACTCACTGCTGTTGGGTTGCAAAGCTGGGTCAACTTTTTTTCTGCGCTTCCCTTTCATTGTCAACCTCCCTTCTGACCTACTGAGGAAAATGAAAGCATTTCCTTTGAAATCAATAAATTTTTATATCCAAATTATGGGTAATAAAATTATATACGAAAAATAGCTAAAATAAAATCATATTTAAAAGATGATATGTAGTTAAATTATATATATAAGATAGTATGATAGAACATAATATTAAAACATAGCATATAAATGCATATAATAAGGTTATCGGGAAAAATATATATCCTGAGACGCACATTCAATAGAATGCGGTGTGCGTTTTTTACCTCTCTATTTAGTCAGTTCTTCAGCGCCTGGTGCTGCACATGCTCTAGGACGGAAAAGAAACGGCTATGTTTGTTACTTGACTTTCTTAGTTTCATTATTTTTCTCTTCAAAAAAATATCGATGTGCACATCAAACATAATATGCGTATTACAAACACATGCTTTATTTTATCGCTGTCATGTCTTAATCTTAACCCCACAAGAAAAATATTCATGCAAACCAATGTATCTCAATAAACATTCCTTGCTTCAGTTTCTTCATCCTCAAAACTCAAATTGAAGTGTTTTTTTGATTCTGTTTTTTGGGGGGTTCGGATGGGTTCGGGACAAAATAAGTAAACAAAATCAAGGACATTTGTCATTTACGTTTTTGTGGGTTGGGGAAATAATTTGTAAAGCAAGTGAAGCATACATTTATTCTGATGCATTTTTGCATTTGTAGAATGAAACATCATTTTTGTTTATGCCGTCGCCGCCCCTAGCGGCCCCGGGGATTTTGAACATTTTTACTTCTTCTGTCATGTCTGCGACTCAGCCGTCAACTTGGATCTCAACATCAGGTATCGGGGTGGGGTGGGGTTGGGGTAAGGTGGGGCGGGGTTGATAACGTTCGGTCTCCTTGGCACATGCAGTTGACACTACATTGGCACATGGTGGGGTGGGGTGGGGTGGGATGTTTACGTTCCTTGCAAGTGGATCACACAGCTGCTGCTACGTTGTTATCCTTTCTTGCAAGTGGTACACACACTGGCTGCTATGTTGTTAACCTTTCTTGCAATTGATATACGCAGTTGCTGCACGACTCACGGGACGCAGTGCATGGACATGAAATGGTAATCCTTGAAAAAGTATGTCCAGAAGGAACTGTGTTTGAAGAAGCCTAATGGACTGCTGAATAAAGAGATTTCCGAATATGTTTACAGTTTTGCTGGCGGTCCAATACAAATGGAAAGCGCCAGCTGAGGGAGCTGGGTAAGTTGGCACGCAACACTTGGATGAAGTGTCCCCCATGTCGCATGTCTACATGCATGCCACTAAAATCCACCAAACATGCCAGTTTTTTTGCGTTTAGGACTTGGAATTCATGATTTACACCACTGGAAATACGACTTAACACAGATAAAAATACTGTAAAACGCAGGACAAAATGAAATACTCAAAAAATAGGTCGAACAAGAAAGTGCTGTAAGGGTTGTGAAGCGCCCAAAGAAGGAACAAATGAAAAGAGGTAAAAGGCGCGGGGCCGTTACAGGCGGCGTCCTTTTTAAAGCATCATTTATTCTGAGGCATTTTTGCATTTGTAGAATGAAACATCATGTTTGTTTATTTTTTGCCAAGGGCTGGGGAAAAGAAGATGAAATGTTTCACTGATTCTTTACGCACCATTTTGCCGGTGGTTGGAAAAACTAACAGGAACAAACAAAAATGAAACACGTCGAAGAATTCCTTTTGAACATTGGCTGGATTTCATGTTCGCTCAAACATGTGGTTTTGACCGAGCAAACAAACATGGAACCGACAAGGGCTTCAAAATGTGGTAGTTGATGAACATCAAATTTACCCGGCTTAAACTTGCTGCAACCTGGAACTTCCATGTCGGTCATCCAAGTCCAGTCTGGACTAATGGAATTTAAGAGGAAAGGAAACCCAAACCAAGACCTACAAAAGGATGTATGCAGCATGATGGGAACCAACATGGAACCCAACCGAAATATGAATAGAAACTGAATGGGGCAGGGGCCCAAACGGACAAAACCAGCAGGTCCATTTCTCGATCAAATTCAAAACTACTTGCTTTCATGACTCGAAGATTTTTTTGGGTCATGTCGGGTCAGGGCAATGAAATGCGAATACACTGGGGGTTAGAGGCCGGGAAACCCAAACCAATTGAACTCAACTTGGTGCAAGCGAGTAAAGTAATCTGCAAACATTAGCCCATCGTCCAGTTTCATGTTAGTGGCAAGGGGGCATCGGTGTTTTTTTTTCTTTGGGTCTTTGCGGGACAATGAAACATACATGAACCAGATATTTATTCATTGTATCCAGAATATTTTCGGAGTCGGAAAGAAACGAGGAATCACATAACAATAACAATCATTGAATTTCCTTTTTGGGCCGCGGAAATAAAACATCCATTGTACACCATCCTTGTAGACATCAATTTGGGCCTAAGAAAGAATGACAAACAACCAGTTGAACCATCTAGAGCATTTATGTTTACCACATTTTGTGGTATTTGTGAGTTCCATTGGTTTAGCAATTGGCCTGTCCAAACAAACAAATATACCAGTTAAATGACTTGGCCCTCTGGTCCATGTAAGTAATCAAAATCACTTGCATTCTTCGAGCCAATCTTAGTCATGAAAACTAAGAACATAATCAACATGTAAAAGCAAATAGGTGTCACTTCCAAAAACTAGTCCTAGCTCTAGGCATGATATACTTATTTTCCACGGCGGTTTGCTTGTATTGCAAAGGACAGCTACGCCAAGTTTTAGCGTGATCTTCGTGCACGTTCAACTCACTCCAAATTCGGCTTTGCCCTAAACATAGATTTGATCGATGATTTCCCTCTAGACTCTAAACTAAATTCCACTTTTGTGTGAAACATCAAAGGTTAAAAAACCACTGAAGGATATGAATCGGAAATAAGAGGAAATACAAGAATGAAGGGGGGAACCAATGAAGTTCAAGGACGATGAAAGGAGATGAAGGCACATAGCAGGAAAACGGAAGGTACATGAATGAAAGGAAGTAGAAATGGAAACAGAGAAGAAAATCAAAGGGAATAGGACTCGGAATTACGGGAGAATGAAAGTAAAATGGCTTGTAAACTGAATGGAAAATAAAGAGGATTAATGGGAATCAACCAAAATGAACGGGAATACAAGCAGGAAATGAAGAACATTGAAAGGGAACCTTAAGTGGGCATCAAAAGGGTGAAAAGACAATGCATGGAACATAAAGTAAGATAACATTATAGAAAATTGTAAAATCAACGTCAAAGGAAAAGTCAGCAAAACAAAAAGGCATAGGAATGACACACGAAGGAACACTGAATACGAAAGAAAGGAAAACACATGGGAAACTGGGAGGACAATCACAGAAACTGAAAGGAAGCTACATGGAACTTAAATACAACTTTAAGCCTTTAAGCAAACAGAAAAATATTGTAATATGAACGCAAAATGTGCAGGAACAAAAGTTCAAAACAAAAAAAGGATCATGAAAGGGAATCAGTGTTTCAGGAAAGTCACTGCAGCTTCTTCGCATGTTTCGGTCTTGTAAGACTAAATTTAAATGGGACAGAACCATTATACCATGAACAGGAGCGGAAAATTGGATTTGGAAACAAAGGAAAACGATTTGGAAGTATAAATGGAAGAGCATGGGAGCAGGAAATAAAGGATGATGAAAGACACCTCAATGGATCATGAAAAAAGATAAGAAAAGGGGAATGAAATCAACATCAAGCGAAAATCTAAGGTGAAGGGCATTTGAAAAGATGAATGAGAAATTAAATCAAATAAAAGGGAAGAGGAATGGGAAAGAAGGCAAAATTGTAGGAAAACAGAGGGAAATGGAACATTACGGGAAGTTGAAAGGTAAAGGAGTGAAAGAAAATAAGAATCTGAAACAGACTGAAGGGAGTAGGGATGGGAAATAAAGGAAATATAGAAGGAATGGAACGTAGAGGAAAATGAAAGAAATTTGAATGGGAAATAAAGGATCATGAATTGGAAATGAATGGAACATGACGCGCGACACATTATACCGAACCTACCCTGCCACACTGAACCCCCCATTTCCAACCAAACTCCGGCCTCCACTGCAAAAATCTGCACAGGATGGAGAAACAGCGTCTCAGCCTGCCTTAAGGCAGAAAGAAACCAAAAGAAACCAATCTCATCCCAAAAAGCATGCCCTTTGCTGCGCCCAAACTAGAAGGATCCTGCAGTTTCAGCATTGGATTCGTCAAACCGTGCATCTTTTCGCACCTTCGGCTTGCAAACGGCATGCGATAGTAAACTTGAGAAACTTGCAAATGTGTAGGTTTGAAGGCTTCAGCTGGACCTTTTGTTCAAACATGTACTTCGTTGGATGACTGCGCATCCGCACATCATCGTTTGATGCCTTCAACATCGGGCACATCGCAGATGCCTTCTGCTTAAAGGTTAAACAATGCAGATGTGCCAGTGAAACAGGACAGCATTGGACTAACCTAGTAGAACTTGGTTTCAGCGCTTCGGCAACATTTTCGATGAACATCCAGCAACCGTCAGGAACCTCGATCTTTATCCTCTTTTGATCTCTTTGGATACTTTGATATACTTTGCTATTTTGGCATATTTTTGCTATTTCAATGCTCTCCGGGTGTATGGTTTTTGACTACTTTCCTGACTGTACATGAGCCAATGCCTCATAGGTTTGACGTTTCACACATCGACAAGATTCCGCGCGCCGGCGGGATGGATATTGAAACAGCCAGAGGAGTTGCATGATGAGCGCAGCCAAGACCAATAGGAAGACCAGCAGCTGGATTGGGGAAGGCTCCCTGAGCGTGGATCATGTTCAGCTCAGCGTGCAGCTGTTCTGGGTTAATTGCGGCAGTTGGGGTTTGTTCATCTTAGTTCTTTGGCGTGCGCAAAGCTGGCAACAAGCTCCAAACTTGGTGACACAAACTTCTTCTGCAGCTTTGCATCGTTTTGCACAGCCAAGTATGCGCCACATACATTGATATCATGTGTTTAATGGAGGCTACAGTCCAAAGGCCTATCTTTTGGAGCGCGCCCCAACCCTACGGCGTATCTCTGCAGGTGTCCATACTTGAAGATATAAAACCGATATCTAAACCTGCTCGGTTCAAAGCGAAAGAATTTGCTTCAACACCAACGACAACGGACCCATTGGATGATTCGGAGCAGATGGCAACCGGAATTTTTGACTCTTCACCCTTCCCAGGTCTTGCCAAGTATCTTGACCAGAGTTAGCCACGCACCCCAACAAATGCCGCCGCAAACGTAGATGTACATGTAGGCCAGGGGGCAGCAAAGGAAGGCTAAGAGAAGCTGTAATGGACCGTCGCCGAAGGAGAGCACGCAGTTGATCATTCGAAGCAGAAGCGGGTATGTCAATGGAAATGCCAAAACGAAAACAAGCACCCACCCGACAATTTGCGTGATCATGTACTCACTCACGGATCTGTATCCGGCCAGTTTGGCTGAGCTGGCACAAGGCCCATTGTCACATCCCAGCACATTGACGCTGGAATAAAAAATCATTGGCAGGAATGCGACTAAACAAATGTGATACGGCACTGAAAGTTCATCTCCAATCTGAGAGATCACGAATTCACGCAGGTTGCCCCGGATGAATGCGTTGAAGCGGACCAAAGGATCTTCTTGCAACGGTTCGAATCGTTGAAGAACCACCTGCGCCGGTTGAGCAGGGCAAAAGGTCAAAACGACGACACACACACACACACACCAAAGTTTAAAAGCGATGACCCTCCCTTGTCTCCTCTCCAAACACAGAACTCGCAGCTTGAAAAAAAAACACCGTCCACAACCTTCAATGCACTTGAATGCCGTGCAAACCATTGGACTCTTGTAAGCGTTGTAAGTCATGCTTGTAAGACTTGCAAGAAACCTTGACTTGCGGAACAGAGTTGTGTGACACTCCTGGAGACACTCTACAGTAAGACTTGGGAAAAAACTCTTGTAAGACACCCTTGGATGACACTCTCGTGAAACACTCTTGGATGACCCTTGCAGGACACTCTTGTGAAACAGGTTTGCAAAACAGTCATGTGAAACAAATCCGCGCGACACACTTATGAAACACTTCGGTGTGACACGTGCAAACCACTCGTATAGCACTTTTGCGAGACACTCTTGTGAAATTTCCTTGTCCTTTTGTCTACACCCGTGAAATCTAACAAAACAGGACTTTGGCACCAACTCATTAACATAGCATCCGGTGCCGTTGAGCACCCCGGGGAAAAGGAATTAGGTAGATTTTGGGACCATTGGGCACCAACTCATTAACATAGCACCCGGTGCCGTTGAGCTAATAATTTGCATTCCCCAGGAAATGGAGATCAAAAAATTGCGATGGGTGCTAACATGGCACCTGAAAAAGACTGACCTAGCTAGAATCCAGGAAGGATCAGGAAGGCAGAAATGCTATGTTAGCATCGATTTGCTCAGAAAACATGTCCATACCCCTCACAGCACTATGAAAACTTGTTCTTGAACATGCTGTACAGCTGCTATGTTAGGTGCCCATTGTTTCCCCATAGCGCGTTCCATTTGTTTGAACTGGCAAAGGTCTGGAGATGCTAAAATTATACCCTGAAATAAGAAAAACTGCTTTTCCGATCTCAAAATCAATAATTAAAATATTGCCAAAAATTGGATTTCGAAGCTTCCCCCTAATACTAAATTAAAACCCTTAATAATAAAACTATTTTTTCCGATCTCAAAATCAATGAAATTTCCGTATATAACGCAATTAAAATACTGCCAAAAATTGGATTTCGACGCTTCCCCCTAATACTAAATTAAGACCATTAATAATAAAAACTAGTCTGTTCGATTTCAAAATCAATAAAAATTCCTTATATAACCCAAAAAAATATGGCCAAAAATTGGATTTCGAAGCTTCCCCCTAATAATAAACACCCCGGGGCTGACTAGTTTTTAGTATTAGGGTGGAAAACCCACAAATGGTAGCTTTATTCTTAAACAATTTTCTAAAGGGGATCAATTAAAAGTCAAAGTGGCCAATCTGAAATTTTCCAAAATTGGAGATGAACACTAGTTTTTAGTATTTGGGCGGGGTTTAGTAATAGGAGGAAGGGGTTAGTTGTTCTCTTGGGGTGGGTGTCCTTTCCAATCACGCACCCCACACCCCTGACGTTTGTGCATTCCACCCTAGAATGCTGTTCGTTTGTGCATTCACCTAGATGTGCGTTCCACCCCAGAAAGCTAACTTAACAATTCGGGGATGAGCCCTTACGCAGGATTCAGCTTTGGCACCAACTCATTAACATAGTTGAGCACCCCGGGGAAAAGGAATTAGGTAGATTTTGGGACCATTGGGCACCAACTCATTAACATAGCACCCGGTGCCGTTGAGCTAATAATTTGCATTCCCCAGGAAATGGAGATCAAAAAAATTGCGATGGGTGCTAACATGGCACCTGAAAAAGACTGACCTAGCTAGAATCCAGGAAGGATCAGGAAGGCAGAAATGCTATGTTAGCATCAATTTGCTCAGAAAACATGTCCATACCCCTCACAGCACTATGAAAACTTGTTCTTGAACATGCTGTACAGCTGCTATGTTAGGTGCTCATTGTTTCCCCATAGCTCATTCCATTTGTTTGAACTGGCAAAGGTCTGGAGATGCTATGTTAAGCACATAATCCCTTCCTCCTAATACTAAATGTCCCCCCCTAATAATAAACACGGCAGGTAGTTTTTAGTATTAGGGTGGTATTTATTTTGGGAACCCTATTGATAAAATTATACCCTGAAATAAGAAAAACCGTTTTTCCGATCTCAAAATCAATTAAATTTCCTTATATAACGTAATTAAAATATTGCCAAAAATTGGATTTCGCCGCTTCACCCTAATACTAGATTAAAACCCTTAATAATACTAGACGACGGTTGGCCCGAGAGCGAAAAAGATGTTTTTGAAGCAGCTCTGAGGATGGTAGTCGTAAAAGATAGTCGGTGAATAGTTGGTGAATTTTATATGAGCCATGGAAGGATATGGTGTGAAAAAGTAAGATTGATTAAGAAGAGGATACTTGGTAAAGGGCATCAGATGACACGTGTCTTGCAACCACAGAGAGAAAGAGGGAGGAGGGAGAGAGAGAGAGAGAGAGACAGAAGGAAAGGGGGGTATATAGAAAGAAAACATGGAGAAATATAATGTGAGCAACAAAAATGCACAGGAGCCTCGGTACCATGATGCTGCGAACGACATTTGTTATCTCATTTTACTAAAGCAATTCCTACACACATTGCCGAAAAAGCTCGGCACCATCATTCCGTGGATGTGAAGAAACGCGACGCTTTTATACAGAGACGCTTTTATACAGAAACGCTTTTACACACAGACGCTTTTACACACAGACACTTTTACACACAGACGCTTTCACACAGAGACGCTTTTACACGCACAAAAACTTTTACACACAGACGCTTTTACAGACGGACACTATTACACACAGACCCTTTTACACACATATTGTTTTACACACAGACGCTTTTACACATAAAGGCTTTTACACACAGAAGCTTTTACACGCAGACACTTTTACAGACAGACATTTTTACACACATACCCAACAGACACATTTACACACAGGCACGTTTACACGCAGAAGATTTTACACCAAGACGCTTTTCCGCACAGAAGCTTTTACTGACACACTCTTGTACACACAGACGCTCTTACAGACAAAACCCGTTACACACAGGTGCTTTTACAGGCCGACGCTTACAGACAAAATCCGTGACAGACCAACACGAAATGATGTTTTGAAATCGCAGTGAAACGTCGTGGCTCAGAAGTGCCAACCTTAGTGCGTAGCACAGCGCTGAACACATTCCAGTAATTTGCTTTACTCCAAGACCAAAAAACATCCATCAAGAACCCTGAATGTAATGTGAAATGTCCGCAGACGCGTGCAACAGAGCTCGATGCCATCAGGTGCTTGATGTCAAAAACAGAAAAGTTTGAGTTGTAGACGAAATAAATGTCATTGAGCAACACTCGTTGGTCACAGCCTTGGTGTAGTGCTGTAGTGAACGGCACAATCAATAGAATGCCAACACAGCACAAGTCTTGACATCACAACTGCAAAACACAGCACAAGTTTGGAACCTGAATGGGAGCTGCGCCTCACTGAGACGGGTCATGCAAGATGCAGCGTCACGCCGTGATATCTAGAAGAAATTTTGATAGACGACAATGCACCTCACATAGAGATGCGCCAGAACACTCTGTTATTTTGAAGCAAGAGCCGCAAAGCGCGATCGTACAGACGTAAGCGCGATCGTACAGACAATCAATCCGTGCAGTCACATGCCACCTCAACAGAAACCAGAACTCTATTTTCAATGCAACCGTTCCATCAACGCGCTGCGCGTCGGTGGAGATACGCCCTTGAAAGTGACTCCGTCGTGCTCTGTCGGGAAGCTCATCTCTTGCTATTTCCGACAGAGCACGACGGAGTCACATTCAAGGGCGTATCTCCACCGACACGGGCTGTGTCTCTGGCAAGTTTGGCGACACGTGTTCTCTTCCGCGGAGATAGATGTCATCCAGACGACGACGCAAGGTGCCAGGTTCCATGTCATCAGCTAACTCCTCCGTGAGTCGAAGAGTCTCACGCGCCTTCTGTATTGCTGTCTCCCATTTTCTCTTGGATGTGCATGCAGTGGGATCTGGTAAAATGTTCCGTTAAAACACCAAAGTTGGACCTGGCGGTCGGGAAAAGGCCGCGTAACTTCACTTGAGGCTCTGACCAAACGATTCTTTTGTAGAAGATGCAGTTGAATGCCGCTCGCACAGACTTGTGCGGTAAAACTCCATGCTTGAATTGGAACAATCAGAAAACACAATCTCCAAAGAATGAATGCAACACCATGTCCACAAAGACAGAACATGGAACAATCACAAAACACAATCTCCAAAAAAATGCATGCAGGACTAATGCAGGAAGAAAGATGTCGACAGCATTGCTTTAAATGCATATCTGTATCCACTTGAGGCTCCGACCAGAGAACGTGGTTGCACAAACTCCATACTTAAATCCCACGGGACTGTATGATCCGACTAAAGACAAATCAATCCTCGCAGTCACATACCACCTCAACAGAAAACAGAAAATCAATTTGCAATCCAACCGTTGCATCTCTCAATCGCAGACTTTTACACATAGACGCTTTTGCACACAGACGCTTTTACACACAGACACTTTTACACGCAGATGCTTTTGCACACAAACACTTTTAGACACACGCTTTTGCGCACAGACGCTTTTACACACAGACTCCTTTACACACAGACGCTTTTGCGCACAGACGCTTTTACACACAGACTCCTTTACACACAGACGCTTTTACACACAGACACATTTACACACAGACCATTTTACACACAGACACTTTTACACACAGAAGCTTTTAAACACAGAAGCTTTTACACACAGAAGCTTTTACACACAGACACCTCTACACACAGACCATTTTACACACAAACGCTTTTACACACAGACACTTGTACACACAGACCATGTTACACACAATCACTTTTACACACAGACGCTTTTGCGCACAGACGCTTTTACACACAGACTCCTTTACACACAGACGCTTTTGCGCACAGACGCTTTTACACACAGACTCCTTTA